ACAAATAATTAAAGATTTATACGTATGCAAAAATATACAATATTTTCTTTTTTCATTTTACCTGTAATGCAGTATGTTGACGTGCACTAAGATACAATTGTGTATTACTTAATATTTGCCACAATTCATGTTCATGTAATTTCAGGAGCCTCGCGATTATTCCCAATGTAGATAACAATTCATATTGGGATTTGTAAGTTTGCGTGAATTTGTAAACGTTTACCGAGCTCTTATTAATACTTTCTTTAGAGGACTTAGTCAAGAATTGAAATACGGATGGTAATACCTCTCTATAAAAGATCAATTACAGCATTACAACACATTTGGTGTGTGTTAATTACTATTTTATAATATATTCGATGAAATGCGCAAGATATTTTACCGCAGAGTTCTGCTTCTGATGAAGTCATTCGAAATGTTGGCGAGTACATGCAAAAGTTGCCAAGCGTGATTAATGACAAGTACATTTTCATCATTGAATCTATCGATCAGTGGATGCCATAACTGATGCACAATAGGCAGTAATTCATCTTCCCAATCAACCAGTATCGGTAAACCTTCTTGAAGCGTTTGCATTGCCATCAGTGATTTTTGTATATCTTTCAAAGGTAGAAAGTGTATACAACGTTTCATAACTTCTATGATTATCTTTATATGAGTTGGTAACTTTTTATCTAGAATAATGAATCAATATATAATGAATATATATATAATGAATCAATTTTGCGACCTATAAAATATGTATAAAAATATATTCCTATTACCTCTCTCTTCTGCACTAGGATCTGAGTAATCTTCGTTTATTTCTTCTGGTAACTCAGTATCCGGTACATTTACATCTGATTCTATCTCTTCAAAGTCATCCTCTATTTTTTCATCAATTTTCTTTGCATTATAGTATTCTAACAAAGAAAGAATAATTGTTTCCGAAGAATTACTTGTAACTCTTACATCTTCTTTTGATACTTTTGTATCGTTCCAATTTATTAACGTTTTTATGCATATGATAAATGTATGAAATATCTTCAAGAATAAATCAGTGTCTTTTTGGCGATAAGGAGTACTTAATTGTTTAAGTACATCTTCTACAATTCCCTTTAGATGCGGCAAAAAATCCATTCTGCTGTATTTCATAACAACTTTGATAACGTCAAATACGCCAGGATTACGATTTATTTGACGTAATTTCATTATAATGTGATAAGAAAAATAATCTACGTTAGCACGTAGCAGATCGCCGATTGTCTTATGTTGCTGTGTTTCGGCGACATTTTCGAGAGTACGCACTCCAATATAACTGATTAAACTGTTCCCACTACCTAAAAGTTATCCCTAATTTTTACTTATTTATAAAAAGATTTGAACTCTCACTGTTAATGACATACCTGCTCTTTCAATAATTAAATACAAAGTTTTTAGAAGATATCTATCAAAATCATATTGTAAATTTTGTGCTATAAGACCTAATCCTTCGGTCAAAAGACAACATTGTACTATATTGTTCTGTGCTTGCGCCAAAGGAGTATCTTCAGTTACTTCTGTAGGCAAGTACCACACTTCCTGTGTTGTGTAAAAATCTACGATTTCTTTATATAAATATGAAGAAGATGAATCTTTAATAGAAACTAAAACAAAATTGAAATATTAATGAGAACCTATATTAGTAAATATTTCTTCAAATACATATGTATTGTTTGTGTTACCTAAAATCCAGTTAAGTAGCAAACTCAGTTCCTTTCTGTGTTGTGGTGCATCCATCATAAGTTCGAGAATAGTGTCGATTAATATCCTGAAATCCCCAAATTCTCGAAGCAATTTGCATATTGTAACAAGTTTCTCTTTACACAAGTTACTCTTAATAAACTTAAACTGTTTCCATGAATCTGATCCATAAAAATATGCAGGATCGTCTAAATCTTTTACATTTGCTGTCTGCAGAAGAGACACATTGTTGCAATCTATGATCATAATGTATACAAGAGCTAAAAGCAATCTTTGCATGTGAGCTTGGGATCTCATAATATGAGGCAATCTTTGCGTCCCAAATAATCTTAAATAGCCAGCAAATTGATTCAAGTATACCAATTGTTCGTTATCATCTAAAAAATATAGAATGGATACACACGTTTTGCGATTTCCATATATTTATGTTTAATAATTATATTACGTTTACAAATATGAAATAAGAAACTTTTAACTTCAGACAATAAGAGAAAGATCTTACTTGATCGTCTAATAATTGTGGGCAGTCTTGTAAGTAAGCTGTAAAACTTATCTTCCAATGAATCGATTAATGATTTCATATCGTGATTTTGCATGTAATTTTCACTTATTGTATGCAGCACATTGTGCGCTTTTTCACTAACTTCTATAGATTCGTCTTCAGACAGAGAAATCAAATAATCTATTAGTGTCATAATATTTGGTTTCATATTCCTACATAAAATATATATACATTTATTTAAATGTTAAAAAAATGTAGGAAAAAGAATAAATAGAAACAAAAAAGGGAATCTTTTACCTGCGACAATTTTCAAGTATAAGTCTAATACTTTCAACTAATTCTTTCTTAACTTTGTAGTGTGAGTGGCTTCTAACTTGATCTAACAAATTTATACAAGAGCCAAGCTTAATAGCTACAGCTTCGAACCATTCTTTATTTCTTGCAGCTCCTTTTAGATTATGTTCTATGTCGCATTTTCCATTATATTTCACACTATGTGACGTGTCAATGGACATATTGCAACCTTTTTTTATAAGTGCTTCTATGGACAATGTGTCTTCTTCAGCGTCTTCTTCATTCTTATCATGGACTACAAGAGATATAATTCTCCCCCATGCTCGAATTGCTATCTATAATTGTACAATATAACTGTATAATATTTAATTACTATATAACTTAAATAATTTTTTTCTATTAAAGTGCGTTTTAAAAATAGTTCAATATATGTAAGAATCATGTATTACCATCGTAATTTTGTGATTCTGAATTTCACCTCCCATTGCTATTTCCTGTAATCCACCAACAATACCAGGAAAAAATGCCATTACGGTATTTGCTACTTGATCTTGTATAATGATGTCAGATTTATCCATCTCATCATCAATATGACACAAAGCCATTACTGCATCTAGTCCAGCTAATCTAATAATTACTTTGAATCAATGTTAATATATATTTTAAGATGATACAGTATAAAACTAAAATGCTGAATAGCTCAATACTAGAGCAGTGAAGCAAACGATGAATATGATTTCCATGTTTGCTATCCCTTTATATTCTCTTTTTATATACTCATTATAAATTTTTTAAGTGGAAAATATTCCACTGCAATAAAAATAAAATAATAAAGATATAAATTTAATCTGAAAGTAACTGAAATTAAACAAATTGTACCATGATGTTTTTTGGAGAACAGAATCTTCCAAGCAACAATGATAACTAAATAAATTTTAGAAACAATCTTCCAAAGTAGAAATTGAAAATAAGTAAATTGATAAGGAGTTTACACAATTCCTTCGTATAAAAATTGCAAATGTAATAAAATCAATTCGAAATGAAAACATTGCAATCCAGAGTTGCAATACATTAAAATTTAATAAAATTAAAATAATGCCATCTTCAATATACGTCTTTTAAATGCTTACTTTACAGAATATGACTTTTCAGTCCTTGCCATTGTTAGGCACAAAAATATTCCTTGACCAAGCTGCAGTATATTTTCTTTAGTATAAAGTAATTCTATGACATCAGAATTGCTTTGGTAGATAAGATCTTTAATACATAAGGCTACTGCTTCCTTAAATTCCTCATGAAATAAGATCACTGTTAAATTCAAATAATTAGATTAGTGTTAATTATTATGACATTTATTGACTTAATTCAATATACATACCTTGATTTGGCTGATCCTTGTCAAAAATCTGGACTAGCAGAGATCCATAAATGTTGAAAAAGATTTTCAATTTTGTAATTCTAGTTTTTCGTATTATAACTCTCATAGTTCTTATCAGTTCCTCTTTCATAGTCATGCTGTATATATCAAGAAATATATTTTAGATCATATATTGGTCATTTATATGGTTTGCGACAATGCATATATCGTATAACCATATTTCTTTTATTAAAAAAGAATCCTAAATTATATACCTTGTATTGCTTTGCAAGATGGTGATAATAGGAATTAAACAATATGCTGATAAATCATGCATCGTTTTATCGGGAATATTACTAGCTATCTCTGCGATTCTATGTACGTAATCCTTACTCGGATTTTTTATTAAGTTATCACAGCAGGACTTTAGCTCGAGAAAAATCTGCATATTAAATCGCTCCATTTTTAAGTAAACGTTAAATTGCTTCTTTCTAACCACAATACACTTGCATGTCCATTACAATATACTTGTTCTCGCGAGATCACAGCACAATGTTGGAAAACTCTTGAATCAATTAATAATACTTTTTCTTTTTATACATATTAAGGTGTATAATTTTTAAAATTTGCTAATCTTTCTTCAGTTTTTTCAAGATAGTCCTTGTATATTCATTCATTAATCTCTACATCTTCCTTCACATCTTTACAGATTTTGGTACCACTTGTGCCATGTACCATGTATTTTACCTTCTCTTCCGTTTTCTTTTAATAGATTTCCGATCTTTAAGGTCACGACACGTACTCGAAAATTTACAACTTCAAAATTTGCATCCGGGATTTTGTACAAAAATCGGTTTGGAGCCTGTTTTTTTACAATTGCAGCCGTTGCAGGTTATAGCCAGCACTATATTTACATGTACTTTAAATTTTCTTCAGCCGAACTCTTTGTATTGTTCTCTTTTTCTCTCCAACGATTAAATATATATCTATTTCACTCGAAGTGTGCAGAAAGTACAATGTAGTGCACCTACAAGAACAGAACCGCTATTCCATTGGTGCGCTTCAGTCGCTCCACACCACACACGTGACATTTAAATTGTAAAAACACAGCGCAAATATTTCATCTGATGACATTTAAAGATGCCGATTTTAGCGTTGGACGTAAGAACAGTAAAACTAATTACCACTACGCAAATAATAACATCTGTGTATGCCGTAGTGAAAGAACTAATAGAAAATGCAATCGATGCCGATGCAGACAATATCGAAATTAACCTAGTATGTCAACCAATATAATGTATATTTATGTATTTGCATGATATTTTTTAAGGAAATGCATTATATTCACGCATCTTTATATACTCTTTAGATAGATAATGGTACATCTTTAATAGAGGTGAAGGATAATGGTTATGGCATATCTACGAACGATGCATCGTACATGGCATTACCTTCCTACACGTCTAAAATAGCAAATTTTGAAGATCTAGGTAACGCTTGCAATCCAATCTACAACGGTCTAATTTTTATCGAGAAGTTTTTTTTAGAATCAAAATTTAAATCGATGCATTGATTTAAATTTGAAATGAAATGCATTGATTGTTCCTGCTTTGATCTACAAGATCTCTACTTCTAATGGAAACAGCTACTGCATTGACGTAGTGATGGATTGATGCATAGGCAAACAAGGCACTTGCTTAGAGCAGCAAATTTGAGGGGACGGCAAATTTTTCAAGACAGAAAATTTTCACACAATTGAAATAAATTTTTAATTCATTAATCTATCATTTTCGCACGAGTTATACCAAGTATATTTTATTAGAAATGATATTTTAAATATACAGTTAAAAATGTATTGGATTTATATCACTTATTAAGGATTATTGAACGTTTTTACCAGTCAATGCAGGGATATAAATCTTTTTTTTATCCATTTTCCTCATTTTATCAAATTTATAAATTAATGAAGCCATCTGGTGGCGGTTAGATGTTGGTGCCTACGGACGGCAAAATGCTTAATAATCCGTCACTTGATTGAAGTGAAACTGAATTGAGGACTTCGATAGAAGCTAGACTAATATTTTAGTTTACGGGAATGTTTTTAGACTACAGTGTAGACATAGCAATGAAGCGAATTCTTATATCTCTAGTCTCATCACTTTCAGATGCATTACGAACATTTGGATTTAGAGGAGAAGCGCTTAGCGCAGTATGTGCAGTAGCAGAAGTCACTATTATTACAAAAACAGAAGAGGATAACGTTGGAACTTCATATGTAATGAATAATGATGGACAAATTGTAAACTATGAATCTTGCCATAGAAGTATAGGTAAAAAAATAACTTATTAATTTTTAAACTTCTGTAAGATGTCATAATAATGTACATGATTATAATAATACTTTAACACATGTATTCTTAAAAGATCTACTAATTTATTGTATATTAGGCACTACGGTACAAGTAAAAAATTTATTTAAGCAAGTGCCTGTGAGGAGACAAATAATTACGAATAAGAAAAAAGCTAATGAGACTATCAAATTATTGGAGACCCTAATGCAATGCTTTGGGATATGTAAACCAAATGTACGAATTCAATTTAGAGTGAATAATAATATTATGTTTACAAAACCAAGTCTAAATAATATCAGAGAAGCTGTAAATCATATACTTGGCAGAAAAATTATGTCTAACATGGAATGGATTGAGTCTAAGGATGTAGAGGTAGGTACAGTCTTAAAAAATGTTTGAAATATTGATATCCAACTAAGGAAAATATGTCTAGTTACAATTAACAGCTCTTCTATGATTTACACTTCATTATTTTTCAGTTCACTCTGCAATTAATGTTGCCTTCAAAAAAGGTACAGGATTTATCAGAAATTTCTCATCCTGATTTACACTATATTCTTGTAAATAATAGGCCTATTAAGCATAAGGATCTTGAAAAGGTATGTTCTATATAAACATTATTATATTTTTAAACTTAGAAGTATATATAAAAACTAAATTTTTGTACAAATATCGTTGCACATAAATATACATAAATAATATAATCTTTATATTCATTATAAAATATATATTTTTTATACACAGCTAGTAAATCGTCTGATATTAGAACATTTTGAACAAGAGTCATATAGAAAGAAAATAGTATTTCTTGTGTATATTATTCTGAACCCAATGGATATTGATGTCAATCTAGAACCAAATAAAGATGCAATTCTTTTCAAAGATCAGGTAAGATTAAAAATTTAGATCATATTGTATTTAATATTAAATAAAGATATATTAATTTTTTTCATAAAGCAATTATAACAATTATGTAAATTATTTATATAAAATACATAAAATAATGGTTAGATAAAAATCTTCATTTCAAAGCTTTAAAAAATGTAAAATAAAATACATACATAAATGTTACAAATTATATAATTGACATTGTAGAATAAAGTCCTTAATGCTGTAGATAAATGTATAAGAAAATTCTATGGACTTAAAGCTACAGAGATCGCTGAACAAAACGTGTCGTTAGATACATCTGTCTGTTATGAGGATTATGTATCTAATTCGAATGAAAATATTGCTGATACCGAATGGCCTGCGTGCAAAAAACGAAAAATACAAGAAAGAGTTATTCAAGAAAATATTGTCAAAGAGAAATCAATATTTAATAACAGCAACGAATGTAAAAAATCTCCTCAAAATGAGCAACAGAATGATAATCAGAAATATCATGAAGATACATTGGCTCTAACAACTCATATACAACCACCGAATTTGAGTGATTCTGATTCAAATGATACCTTTCCTATCACAAATGTGACTAAGGATAAGGCGTTAGTATACAGAATATTATTAATTAATGCATGAATTTTGAAATGTTCTTGATTTTTCATATTAATATATCAATGTTATAATATTCAGGAACTATGGATAACTATATAAATGTTAAATTACAGAGTAGACGAAAGATTAAGTTTAAGTCAACTTCCTGTAGTAGATCTTGGTGAAGATTTTGACTTTGTAGAAGAAATTGAAAACCCTAATATTTTCATGAACAAAAACGATGCTAGTAAAGAAAATACCCAAGAAAAAAAGCAAATTACAATGGAGACATGGAGTAAAGGACAGGTCACTGGACTTAAGGTGAAATTCTAATAATTGTAGATGTTTATTAATCTTTCTTAATTTAACCCTTCATGATCACACCTATAAAAAGCCACACAATGGTTACTCTGGGTTAAAATGACCCGACCCATCTTTGTTACCAAATCAACAGTATTAGTTGCAATGATTTACAAAAAATACAGTATATAATGTCATTCTTTAAGAAAATGGAACAGTGGCGTTTTTGTGAAAAATTTAACTTTAACACTAAAAAAAAATCATAAACATGTATTAGAATTTAGCGTGAAAGTTACATATATACATCGTCTTTCATAAATTTTAATACATGTTTACGATTTTTTTTAGTGTTAAAATTAAATTTTTCACAAAATGCTTGGGTCATTTTGACCCAGTGTGACCATGAAGGATTAATTTTGTCGCAGAATTATAGTACAGTTAATATTATCAAATGTAACAGGGTGGTACAGATATAAAATCGGATATTGCCACTGAGAACTCGAATGATAACTTAAATAATAAACTTGATGAAACACTGGAACCAAATAGAGCACATGTTGATCATAAAGATCTTAAATTTTTAAAACATGTTAGATCACAAGGTATATATAATTGTGCCATGATCTAAATTGTTTATATATTGCTTATATATATATATATATAATTATTGTAAAAAGGTGCATAGTAAATAAAATAGGTATACAAAACACTTATAGTTACAATAATAATAACTGTCTTGTGTTTAGTTACAAAAGAAAATCCTACATTAACTGCAGCCCAAACTGCAAGAAAAATTACCGACTTTTGGAAGCAATTGTCATCCGAAGAGCGTGGTTATTATCGTGACATTGCGAAAGAAGAAGAAAAGGAACATAAGAGACACGAAAAGCATGAGGGAAAAGTCGATGCAAATAAAATAGTCTCAGGGAAAAATAAGAACAGACTTTTACAATTGTTCGAGAAAATGAAAAACGCAAAAAATGAGAGAAAAGAAAATTTAAATATGAGGACAATAGTACCTTGGATCATCGACAGAGCTAAAATAATCACAAGGTTGAGCTTATTAAGGGTTAAATGATAAGATCGTTTATTTTATATACTGATACACTTTATTGATTAATTTACAGATCAGACTTTGAAAGTGAACACATAATAGGTCAATTGACATCAAACTTATGGATTGCTACAATTTGTGAACAGATGTGGATTGTAGATATTACTGGTCTGATCACAGGTTTGAAAGTTACCGATATCGAGGCAAATAAGGTACTTGTTAAATATTTATTGTTATTTTCCACAAAAATTATACTGTTCAAAAACGTATAAAATATTTCTCTACGCTATTATTATTATTATCATTAGCACTATTTCAGATTGATGCCAAGAGAATCGAAAGTCTTCTCAAACAGTGGTTAGTAGAACGAGATGATATGTCAGTGATGCACTCTATATACAAATTCGCAAAAAAGGTGTAGATATTCATATTATTGCAATTCGTGTAAGCTATTTTTTAAGTTACTTAACTAAATAATTTTATAATGTCTTTATGTTACATTTTATGTATGTACAATATATTTATGCAAAACAATCTTGAATTATCATTAGACATAATTGAGGCAAAAATACAATTTGTATAATTCTATAACTGTATTCACAGCAGATAATAAAATATGTACAAATGATAAATAAAGTAAAAATAATAAAAATAAGCTGTAACAAACACAATTTTTAGGAATTAGTTCCTATTATTTAATGTATTAATTACTGTCATACTTATAGAAGTAATTCCAATTTTTTAAATTGCTAGAAGCAATATTTTGAATTTTCAGTTACTTATTGAATGATTAATGATTTACATATATGATTATGTAATTTTATGAATATCTTTTTAATTTTATGCGCCAATTCTACTCATCACTTTATTACCGCCGACCTCCGTTGACTCCGATTGTCGCTAGTATCGCTGTATTGAATTGAGGGAGTTGTCCCATCATACGCCATTTCGTTACATTTTCCTTGAGGCCTGATTCTTCTCTGCTCCATCTTGCTCCATCTTTCCACCTTCGTTACCGTGCGGATTGCTTCGGAGATTAGGTTTTTCGTATAATTTTAACATAATGGTGAGTTACTTTTTCTCAATATAACGTTTATTTGATAAAATAAACTATGATATACACAAATAATTAATTGAAAACCAATGAGAGAGCGAGATGCTTATTTTCTGGAGAGATTCACTTGCGCGTGGTTAAAACTATTAGAACACGCCTATATCGATAAATCGGCACATGTCTTTTATATATAGTTTTAATACTATTTATTGTTTTTAAAAACATATGTTCTTAAATATTCATATTTAAAGATCACATTTTCATACATTTTGTGAATATTTTTATCTTTTGTGTTACATGATGGAGAAAATATCTTTACACATAATTGAAAACTTTTTTTTTATCTGAACTTGCATGATTAATCTTTCCTCTTTTTCTCTCTCCACGTTGAAAAAAAAAGAAAAGAGATGAACAGTGCAAGAAGTTCAGTTATAAAGAACAAGTCTAAGATTAATTACGAACATAATACTGAATTTTTATTTTAATTTAATTACACTGCAAATTATGTGCTTATTAGGAAGAGATAAATAGTGTGAATCAAATATATATAAATATATATAAATTTTCTATGATGAAATTTCAGCTCACTTTGATACAGAAATGAAAAGAATATTTTTTCCCAATTGTGACTTATTCTGAATGCAGTGGAGAAGCAACTTCAAATATTTGATCTTTATTCTTCTTTTAATAGTTATATACTCCTTTATAGGGTTTTGTCAAAGTAGTCAAGAACAAGCAGTATTTCAAACGGTATCAAGTTAAGTTCAAGAGGCGTCGCGAAGGAAAGACTGATTATTATGCTCGTAAACGGCTGACTATTCAGGACAAGAATAAGTACAATACACCTAAATATAGGTTGATTGTACGTTTGTCCAACAAGGATATTACATGCCAAGTAATTTGAAATAATATACTTAAATTCAATTACAATTAAAGATAATTGTATTTAATGATATATATTATGCAAGGTTGCCTACTCAAGAATTGAAGGAGATAGGATTGTATGTGCTGCTTACAGCCATGAACTTCCTAAATATGGAATCAAAGTTGGTCTTACCAACTATGCATCTGCTTATTGCACCGGTTTGCTCCTGGCTAGGAGAGTAAGTAATCTTTTTTTTCTTTTTACTATTTTTTTATGTATTGATGCATAAAACTAACATGATGATCTACTCAGCTCGCTTTGATGTTTCTATGAAGAAAACACGATTGTTCCCTGTTGTGTATCCTGATTAGCAAAAACTAGCAAATACTTGTATAAAATAATATCAACAATTATAATCAAACATAAAACTTTTTTTATAGCTTCTTAAGAAGCTAGGATTGGACTCCTTATACGTGGGTACTACAGATGTGACTGGCGATGAGTATAATGTTGAGGAATTGGATGATGGCCCAGGTGCATTCAGATGTTACCTGGACACCGGATTAATGCGTACTACAACGGGCGCCCGAGTTTTTGGTGCTATGAAAGGCGCAGTTGATGGTGGTCTCAATATCCCTCATAGGTAATGAAAAATCTTAAGTATAATACTTTTACTATTTTTTAAATATGTATTTGTGCAATATTTGAAATTACTTTAGCTCGCTTTGATGTTTCTGTGAAGAAAATACAATTGTTCCCTATTGTACATCCGGATTAGCAAAAACTATCCATATTTGTATAAAATAATATCAATGATTGTTGTAATGAAACATGGAATTTTTTAAATAGTTTTTTCAAGCTTCTAGGATTATTTATATGTTTTAATATTAATTTATTATTAATATTAATTTGATAATTTAAACTTCAAACATCTTTTTATCCTTATAAATAAAATCAAATAACACAATTATATACACACAGTTATATAATGTCAAATCAATTCTGTACAATTACTTGATGGGACATAAATACACATGTTAGTTTATGACTTGTGCATCATTTAAGTTTCGAAATTTATTTTTGTCTTTTTTTCGTGTTGGATAATGACTTGTAAAATTTCATGTAAAATAAAATAGGATTAGTATCTTAATATGATTTTTTTAAAATACATAATTTCTTATTTCAGCTACTTGAATAACTTTGTGTATTGTTTTATAGTACTAAGAGATTCCCTGGCTATGATGGTGAATCAAAAACGTTTAATGCAGATGTGCATCGACAACACATATTCGGTCAACATGTTGCAAATTATATGAGAACTTTGGAAGAGGAAGACGATGAAGCTTTCAAAAGACAGTTCTCACACTATATTAAGAATGGCATCTCCGCGAATGATGTAAGTAATTGCAATGCAATTGTGAATATATCTATAACTTTAATTCACGTACGTCCAATTAAAAATTGCTGTTTAGACTATTCAAGTCTTTGTAGCGTCGCGATTGGACAATAATAATTTTCATTGGTTGTTAAATGATAAATGCATATATGAATGCGTTTATTAAAATAAACCTGTGTTACATATATATACGTGAATATAAGTAATTGAGATAATATAAAAAGACGTTTCTTTCAATAGATCGAGAATATATACAAGAAGGCCCATGAAACCATCAGAGCTGACCCAGAACACACAAAAGTCACAAGGGAGAAGCCAGTTATCAAGAAGAGATGGAATCGCGCGAAATTGTCACTGTCCGAGAGGAAAAATCGCGTTGCCCAGAAGAAGGCATCTTTCCTCAAGACTTTGGAGGAAGCAGAGATATAACCATTCTTTATTTAAGATCGTCTTTACAATGTATACACAAATTTATGTGTATTAACCGATCAAGAATAAAGGAAATTGCAAAAAAAAAATGAATCTATTATAATTGCGCATATGTAATTTATACAAATAAGATTTATTTTTAATAATTTACCAAAATACAAATTGATCTCTTAATCAGAAATTTGGTTTATTATAAGCTTTAATTTTGTGATATATCAAAACTTAAATCATTTTAACACCCATCTGTGATTTCGCCACATGAGATCCATTATTGAACATAATGTTAATAAACACGAGATTACTCTTGTGTGTCTTGCATTACGCTTCTGGTTAATGGCATAGTCTTTACTTTTTCTCATGCTGTCGAATAACAAACGAATTATTTTGTATGTCTAATTTATTAATTTTTTTCATTGTCATATATATACAAAATCTAGATAATATACATAAGGAACATTTTGTATATTATATATTATTTAAAATCTTCAATAATACTATTTTTAATATTACGATTTTTAATAATATAATAATCAAATTTAGTTTTTTTGTTAATTTCGTATTGTATTTTCAAAATTCAACTTAATTTAAAATTGAATGTTCCGTGTTTCTCATTACTATACAACTGTATATGAATAAGTGACATTTATTTAAGATGAGAAGACTGGAATATCTTATACATGATTTTAACGAAAAAGTGATAATCTGCTACGAGAACCAGGTAACCGACCTTGCGCGTCAAGCAAGCCGTTTTGAATGTCCGCTATGGAAGGTACAGCCTTCACTTCGCCACGTGCCGCTAAGCAAGGTGCCGATTTCAATAAACGTCGCGCTACTCGATTGATGTCATCCTTAGATATTCCATCTGCAGACATATTTTTGTGATTATTTTATGAATGTTAAGAATTGGTATTTTGTTGTAAAGAACTTTACAGAACTTACTAATAGCTTGTATGAAGTATTCTGGCCGTTTCCTAGTGCCAGTCGCTAGGACTTGTCTACCAATGTCTTCAAATACAACGGGCCGTTGTTCTAGATTCATAAGCAGCATTGATTGCAATTGTTTCTTGGCTCTCTACAAAAAAATAAAATTATAAAATATAACTATATATATATATATAAAATACGTATATATAATATATATATATATAAAATACGATTAAAAAAAGATTCAGAAATAAAGTGAAGCACTATCAGCATTAATAAACGATTCAGAAGTAAGCCAATATCATACTGCTAATTCGCTATCCGAGATTCCGCTTGTCATAGTAACCATCTCCTGTACAATTACTTCCACCATATCCTTCACATGAGACGGTGTGCATGAAGCGTGAATACAAAATAGACCAGTGTCTGTATAAGCATGATTGTATGCAGTTGCACTGTATAACCAATGATATCTACAACATAATTTTCTCGATATAGTGTTCTCAATTAAAAATTTCAAAAAAGTGCAAGTATGATAAATCTATTATTTGTGTATCTCTGTTATAGATATGAATATTAATCACAAATTTATTCATTTTTTATAACATTTTAATTACATTTTAATTACAGTTAATAAGAAAAGACAAACAAAAGATACAGAGTCAAAAGATATAATTATTTTATATTTATATTAAAACCTCTTTATAAAACATAAATAATAACATAAATCTTACCTATTCAACACATTGGTGTACAAACGCGTGTACATGCCCTTTCCAGGACCACCAGCGCTAAAACTGCCACCGCCTCCCATCATCATATTTAGTACACACATAGCAACAAAATCTGGATCTTGATGAGAACAGCCTTCTAAACCTATTACAACATGTGATAATTCAGGCAAGCCACTGGGTCCCGCGTAAATTGGTACATTGCATTCCTCCTATTAAAGACATAAACACCAGTTATTTATCTTTTTCAATTTCGCAACAAAAATAAAATTATTTTAATATACTTTATGTGAGTGATCATACCGAAACATATCCTCCACTATATTGTGCGATGGACATATCGACAGTATTTGCATTATTTGGGAAAATAAGATCAGGTTGTTCCTCCCAGATAGGTTTTTGATCTACAAAATATCTAAATCAGAGATAACATTATTATTATTATATAACAAAAAGGTTCAAAAAATGTTTATAACACCTTATCAGTACATCGCATATGACACAATAATATATTACATAAAAATGGTACTAAAATCTTACATTAAAAAATCTACTACATTATAAATTATTTATAAATTACTTAAATTACTTAATCAAATAAATTTGTCATCTATAGAAAATTTATGACTATTACTTAGTAACAGCGTGGACCAGGTCGTCATGTTCAACACCAACTCCAGCAACTACCATTCTATTTGGTACATAATGATGCTTGAGATACGTATGTAAAGTTTTCCTATCAATCTTTTCAATATTCTTTTCTGGACAGATCTTGGGTAAACCTAATGTGTTTTGCTTATATGCAGCCTATCAATACAATATATCCATATAATTACATCTTTTTTTCCTTTACAATAAGAAAATAAGCTTATAATTTCACTAAGATGTATCTAAAGAACTATTACTTTAAACTCACAGAATGAATCATGTCCATTAATATAGGCTCTTGTTCTGGCCTGGTATGTAAAGATTCCAATTCAAAATATACTGTTTGTTTAGCTGTTCCTACCTGAAAACAATTTATCTTTATATAAATATATACACATATAAAATACAAATGTTTCAGAATTTGTTACTAATGATATATAATTTAATTAAATAACATGATACAATAATTTTTTGTAAAATATTATACATTATACTCACTTCTTCCTCTGTAATTTGAGGTCTTAAGACAATATCACCTAGAACTTGAGTTACTATATCTAATCCGCGACGTTCTGCTGATGCTGCATAGACAAATGTGTCGCGAGACGCTTGACAGTCGCATATACCACCATGCTTTTCTAGTGCCAGCATTATCTTATCCTTGCTGTCAAATGTGTTTGTAGACTGTAACAATTAATACAGTATAATTTTGTATATACTTATGAATTATAGGAATTAAGAAAGACCATGAATCATAGGATATGGAATTTACATCTATTAATAGATATAAATTATGGAATAAACTATACAAATACATCAATAATCTTTGACACTTATTATATGCTAAGATAATAATAATACTTGTGATGAAAGAATCTTACACCAAATGCTAACTTTTCAAGAAAGTGCGAGATGCCATTGGGATATGCCACTTCATATCGCGGGCCCGAATCAATAAGGACTGAAAATTAAAATATAATGTACACACACACACACACACACACACACAAATCTAGCAAGTCTATTAGTGTTTTTGACTTTAACGTTTGTATCAACCTAGGTTGGATTAATGTTCTATTATTGGTTGACATTAGATGCTCTATCAATAATAGAGCATAAAACATCATTAATACAATTCAAGTTGATGCTACAGTCAAAAACACTATATATATATATAATATTCAAATCATGCTCAACTTACCACCTATGGTACAAAATTGTCCAAATCGATTTTCAGATGCAACTTTCAAGCCATTTGGTAAAACGGTGATGTGCGTTATCTGATGCTCCTCTTTTGCAGTCGAGTAAACGGCTTTTGGTAAATTCGGGATGGATTCTGTTAATGGTGGAAACGATGTAACAGTTTTCTTGTGATTCTCCTTTAAATCAAGAGGTATTCTTTGGGAGGAGAAATTACATCTTTGCCAGACATTGAGATATTGCGAGCGAGTTGAGCTGAAAAATAAGCAAAATATATATAATGGAATGTAAATGTATTCCATTCGAATTTTTTCCTCTATTAGAAGGATAAGATCAAGTTTACACAAATCTAATTTCGCGAATAATTTGACGTCACATTATCATGGTTACCTTTTTTTAAGCGCAACGATTAAAGGCCTTTGCAACATTCTCGAGAGTATTTTGTCAATTCGGAGAGATATGTAGCATACAGACGTAATTCTAACCGCCGAAAGCTACAGAGATGTGCTTGGGACACAATGCAGATGTGTTTGCAGAAAGAAAAAAATGACAGTGAATCTTGATAGAATCTCTTACGTTCTCTCAGACAACGGATTTACAAGCGAGAATATTTAAGCACATCCGGTAACGATACATCTCGTAAATATATATAGATAAAATTTCAGCTTTGTGAAATAATAGGTTAGATTTTCTTCATTTTTTTCCCTTTGATAAATATAAGTGTGTTCGGAAAAACGCTATTAGCGCTATTGTGTCATTCTATCCTTATTTTTCTGATAAATGATGAAGATAAAATAAAGGTGCAGCCACAATAGAAGGAATAGGGAATTAGGAATAAGGAATAAAGATTTCAACCTATCAGATATCAGATACACCGGAATACACAGTTTCTGATAGGTTGGAATCGTTATTCCTTAGGGTTGGTTTATAATAGGCCGTAATCTGTTAATTTTTTCCGTAATCTATAGAAATTGAGCAATCACAATCGATTATTCTTTTCACAATCGACTGTGATTGATCAATTTCATACTCTTATTTCTTAAACCAAGCTTACTACGTGTATTGTAGACGGGCCTTTACAATGGCTGCGTTCAGCAGAACGGTTGTTTTGCAACTGTTGGAAGTTTCCTTCGCGCTAATTGGATCATACTTTTAGATCTAGAAGAATGGTCCTATCTCAGCAGACAATCATAAAACGGTTGCAAAACTGTTGAGTCTGCTGAACGCAGCCAATATTGCCACGACTGCTGATAATTCCAGTCGGCTTTAGAATTGACCAATCACAGTTGATTTATTCTTCTCATATTCGACTGTGATTGGTCAATTTTCTACGACTTAAGATCCACGACTGCTACGACTTCTATTGTAGACCTCGCATTAGTCCGGATCTACAATAGGTGTTTTAAGACTTAAGCCATAAGAAATTGACCAATTACAGTTGAATCCGAGGGGAATAATCGACTGTGATTCGCCCATTTCTTATGGCTTAAGGCTTAAAACCCTATTGTAGATCCGGACTTAATCTCAAGCAATAGGTCTGTTCGCGTTGCATGCACTTTTTGCACTCAGCATTTTCGCTTTCTTTCCTTTCAACGTCCAAATATATATCTATCTCATTTTAAGTTCAAAAATTTTTGAGGATTTCAAGTAACGCGAACAGACCTAATGTCTTAAGATGCTAATTCGGTTCTCTGATTGGTTCATGCGCTAGCTTAAAACCATCTCGAATCTTGAGCAACGTCTATGGATTCCGCCCAAGGTTTCTGAGAGGTAGCGCACAAACGGCATCGGGGTAATCGGGGCATTTCTTGGATTTAAAATGTCGACGTGTGACGTGTAATTTACATTGACAAACAGTGGTAAACTCATTGAAAGGAAGTTCTAAAGAAATGGAATATTTTAAAAGCAGTCTGAAATCCGTCTTAGGAACCACTCCCGCTGATACACAACAAACGGGCGCCGATACAGTAAGTGGAATTAACAAATACTAAATGTTTCACATGCTGAAAATTACTTCCCTATGTTTTGAATAAACGCTGTGCATTTCTGTACAATTACGTTGCTACCAATTATCAATAAAGCTTTCTATATTAGTAAACTAAATTGTAAGTAGTGTGCAATGCGACGCTGTTGCTCTTACAATATTTGTATGTTTTGATACAGGTGGAGAGACTAGTAGACAGGTTGCAGTCTTCTAGTCTGCTCGATGACAGAAGAGATGCTTGCCGTGCGCTTAAGGCATTCTCTCGTACGTACCGTGTGGAAGTGGGTGCTCAAGGAATGGATGCATTGAGGCAAGTGCTGGAGATGGACAGAACAGATTGTGAGATAATCGGCTTGGCCTTAGATACATTATGCAATATAACAAATCCTGAAATGTTTGATGAGGAAGGTAAGATTAAAGGACTATTTTTGCTGCATTGGATTGCACTAAAACTTTCTAGCCAAATGTATAGCCTAGTTTACATGATTATTTAAGACTTCTTTGATGTCATTTAATATACTCGAATCAACTAATAATTTTTTATTAAATTATCTTAATTTCAGCGGTGCATTTAAAAGGTATACTAAAATGTACAATGTATACATCAAGATAATCACTAAAATACATATATTGTACATGTGTTTATATGCATCCCTGAAATTAAGATACTTTAACAGAAAGTTGCTAGTTGGTACAAGTATTAAATGAATAGTGTAAACTAAGATTATATTTATCTTATTTTAAATATAACAAGCATATGCTTCAGTCATAGAGAACACATCTTGAGTTTTTTTATATTAATTTTACATCTAATCTCTTTATATTATTTTAGTGGATAAACATAGTTCTAAGAACAAGATAGGAGAACAATTTACAGAAATATTCATCAAGCATTCAGATAGCGTTGGTTTGGTGCTGGCATTTCTTGAAGACTTTGACTTTCGTGTTAGGTGGCCGGCGCTAAAGTTACTGACGCATTTATTGGCAAACAGATCTAAAGATATTCAGGAAATAATCTTGGTCAGTCCTATGGGTGTCTCTAAATTGATGGATTTGCTGAGTGATAGCAGAGAAGTTATACGCAATGATGTAAGCTAAATTTATAATGAATGTTTCAGGAATAACAAGAATGCTTTGTTTATAGTACATTATTTATATAGGTCTTGTTGCTGCTCATCCAATTAACAAAAGGAAATGCTAATATACAAAAAATAGTAGCGTTTGAAAATGCATTTGATCGCATATTTGATGTCATCGAGCAAGAGGGTAATGCAGATGGTGGTATTGTTGTGGAAGATTGTCTTCTATTAATGTTAAATCTTCTCAGAGGCAACGTTAGTAATCAAAACTTCTTTAAAGAAGGTAAGATACAATTAAATATTTCTGATAATTTTAATAATCTCACAGTTCTATAATAATTTATGTGCTGCATTATACAGGTAGCTACATTCAGAAATTAACACCAATGTTCCAAATTCCTAATGAAATAGAGGATAATAATTTTGATGGATGGAGTCCTCAGAAAGTTTCTAATGTTCATTGCATGGTACAAGTTGTACGAGCGCTGGTAGCACCAAGTGCTCCTGCTCAGGTAAAAAATAATATTGTGGCGCTATATAAAATTTCGATATATAAAATGTCTGTATGTTATCTTTAATTAATAACTAAACAATTGCGCACATATGAAGGCAGTCGCAGCTTGTCAACGAACTATGAGAGCATGCGGATTATTGCAAGCTTTATGTGATATATTGATGGCTAGCGGCGTGCCAGCGGATGTATTAACAGAGACCATTAACACTGTAGCAGAAGTAATAAGAGGGAATGCTAGTAATCAAGAATTTTTGGCGGGTGTTATGGCACCGAGCACTCCTCCAAGGTATATCTTAGATACATGCTAATCTCATTCATTTTCTATCGCATACATATTTTTTAGAATAATAAAAGAGATTACAAATTACATATAAGTATATTATAGGCCGGCTATTGTTGTCTTACTAATGTCCATGGTGAATGAAAAACAACCATTTGTTTTGCGATGTTCAGTATTATATTGCTTTCAATGTTTCCTGTATAAAAACGAGGTAGGACAGACGCAGTTAGTCCAGACTTTATTACCACAAGGCAACGAGGCACCATCACTAACTACAGGTTCGTAATCTCTTTTATAAATGTAAAAAAAATACCTCTAATTCTACACACACATAAACGTTTTTGATTAAACTGTAAAATAACATAACTATTTTGCGTATATCTGTTATTAGGACAGTTGTTGTGTGGCGGATTATTTTCTATAGATTCTTTGTCAAATTGGTTCTCCGCCGTGGCGTTATCTCATGCTCTGATCGAAAACATAAGTCAAAAAGAACAACTTTTAAGAGTACTTCTCGCAACCAATATTGGGAAACCACCAGTGACGCTTATGCAACAGTGCGTTATGTTATTGCAGCAGGGTAACAAAACGCAGTGTAAATTGGGCCTGCTGATTCTGCTTTGTCGATGGACCTCGTACTGTCCACTTGCAGTAAAATCATTCCTGGCTATCGACTCTTCAGTAGCATATTTAACAGCTCTTTTGTCATCACAAGAAAATAATGATGATTTACAAGAGACCTTACTGCAGAGCATGTGCGCCTTGCTTATCGGTATTTGCGTACACTTCAACGATGATAGTGTTCCTACTTATACAAAAGTAAATACTATCGATAATTGTACAAATCCGATATATAAAGTGACTAATGTGCAACTAATATAACTTATCTATATTATTTTACAGGAAAAAGTGTGCAATTTAATAGAGAATAGAATAGGTTGGGAAAAGTTTCAAGATGCAATCGGTGGTATTGCCAGACACGAAATATATTCTCGAACACTAAAACATCCACAGCCTTCAGCTAAGAATCCATCGGAACTTTTATTGGATCATGAATTTTGCAGATTGTTAAAAAGTTTGGAAGGTACTTAGACATGTCAAACATTCAAATTTTTTTACAATCATAAAGAAAATTAATATTGTCAACTTTTTTGAAATGCAAATAAGATTTTTCGTTTTTTAGGGGTTATAATAAAATCGGTGATAGATGCTAATAATGAGAACAGGAATCAATTATCTGTAATGAACTTACCTGATAATACATTAATTTCACAATACAAAGATCTTATTAGAGAGCAGGATATACAAATTCAAAGGCTAAATCAAGCTAATAATTTTCTTACAAAAGAAAAACAAGAATTTGAGGTAGGGACTAATTTCTTTTTAGAAAAATACGAATTTATAGAATACATTTTTAAAAATGTTGTAACATTTTTGTAGGTACAAATACAAGAACTTCGCTCAGCCGTTAGTCATCTACGAGATCAAAATTTGGTTCTTCGAGCTGCACAAGCTAATATAGGAGATGGAAAAGAAAAAAATGCTTCTAGTAACGATCTAGATTTGGAAAAGGAATTACAAACATATAAAACAATGGTTGCAGATTTAGAAAATCGTTTAGCGGAATATATGCACATAATGCAACAACACAATAAGGACAAAGAAATCAAGGAATCACATTTAGAATTGATATCTCAATTGAAATTGAAGATAGATGAACTTGAAAAATTGAAGAAAGATCAAGAAGCTCTTTTAGAACTCTTGACAGATCAAGATAGTAAAATTACATTGTATAAAGAAAGATTAATTGAATTAGGGGATAAGGTATGTGCTATAAAACTGTACTTCATATGATATATGATAAACAAAATAAATATCTTCTCTCTTTTTAGATTGAATCTGATGAAAGTTCGGGTGAACTTGACACGGATGATCAACCAGAATCAAGTAACTAAAATATTTTAATTGATGTTCCCTCAAATAAATTAACAAAATTCTTTTACCAATAAGCAACTTTTCTTGTTCACATTTTGTAAGATTTCATTTAATGTGTCATAAATAATGTAAACATAAAATATATATGCAAATGTGTGTGTATATTTGCACATTTGCAGGTGTACATTTGCACATTTGCAAATGTGTGCACAAATACATGCACATAATTGTATAATTGAATATTCAGTCACGTTCTCTAGAAGCTAAACTATATAAATTCGATTTAATGAATAGTTATATTTTAAGTAAATTGAACTATATAATATTCTAATTCTGTGTAATAAGTTCTGATGAAACAGAGTTTGTAAAAAAATAATGTAATTAATTGTAAAAGCAGATTACATTTGAACTGAAGAAATTGATGCCAACCATTCCTATATATTGTCACATCCGCCGCACCGCTCTCGCGCCACATGCACGCACTCACAAGGACACGCGGAGAGAAATATGATGCACGCACGGAAAGAAGAGTACACTCGTTATAAAAGAACTGAGACTTTTTATTCCAGAAGGAAGCGCGCGTCCATACAGAGAATCTTTATCCGTCAAAATCCAAATCAAACTCTCTCTTGTTGATAAGACACGCTTCGCGACTATCTTCTTAAGGTAACGCGACACCGCTCGAGCCGAAGGGTGTCTCGCGGGCGTAACAATATATGTCGAACATAATTTGATGTGCAATTTTTTCGATATTTATAAAGAGTTATCCAAAAGAAATATATTTTTATTATATTTATTTTAAATAACTTATTCTAACTACGAATGTACAATTAATAGGACTGACAGGGACAACATTTGTAAATTCCCATTTTCAATAATTTAATATACAGTATAATATAGAGCTCTATAAATACATCTTGATGCTTTTTTAATGTATTGTAATTCTTTTGTCATTGGCTGCGGGATGTTGTAATATCTAGCCAATAATATCAAATAACTAGCAGATGAGAATTTTATCCAATGTAATATCAGATATAGGTTTATACTGCACTTTGTCGTTGTTTCATGACTGCTTGAACGCACTTTGCCATAGTCAAAGACGCTCGTGATACTACGTCAGTCATGAAGAACTGATCCAACGTTTTATGTTTGATGTCCACAGGGTCTGATAAAAATGATCCTCCAGACTGATGCTATATGTACATAACAAACAATATGTAAAAATAATATTATTTTGTATTTAAAATATTTATTCAATCACACACGAACCTTAGCTATTTCTAAAGCTTGCTTAAAGAAATTAGCTGGCTCAACATTGCCATATCTGACCAGATGAGGCGCAACCTCTTCAAGCCTGGATCTTACGTCGTTCAAATTATCATAGGGCAAAGTAACTCCAGTCAGCTATAACAATTTAACAAAAACATGCGATATTTCGTATCTTGATTACTTAACAGGCATAACGTAAAATTTTGCTATAAAAATTTATTTACTTCGGAAAGAGCGCGAATAATTTTCCAATCTGGTCGTGCTAAGCCAGGCGGCGTAATTGCTGCGCACGTTTGTTGGGAGCGACCTTCTGTATTAACGTAACTTGCGACTTTTTCAGTGTAAGCTGCTCCAGCCAGTACAACATCCGCAATGGCTGCTCCAGCATCACCATGACTTCCTAGAATCATAAATGATATTTAATCATAAAGCATTTGTAACTTGATATTAGAACATAAATACAATTAATTTTACATATATCTTTGGAATTGTTGTACACATGCCTATATAAATGATAAATGTGTTTGGAAAATCTTCCTTCTTAATATTTGCGTCATCAGCGCCCAAAAGAAACAGAACTTTTGGTTGTTGTTCCTTAATTTCTTCTACAGTCGAACCATAGCCGATATCTAAGGCGGCGACTTGAGATGCGTTTGTATGCAGTATGTTCAAAATCTTCCAATCCTGGGGAGCCTAAGATAAAATATATAATTAATATAATTTTTACACGCGATTACAAAAAAAGTCAGTGGCTCACTTTTGAGTCATCTCCTAAAGCCTTCGCTAATGCTTGCGTTTCATAAAGAATTTTAGCTCCATCCTGTCGAGTTAGCTGGTCGGCGCCCAAGATAACGAGTGGTTTTTTAGCCTCTTTCAGAGTCGCACGGAACGGATGCGAGCCGTTTCGTAATTTTGTTATTATATCAAAAGACTCTCCTAAATGCTATATAAAAAAATTACATTTTGTAAAATAATCTACATACCGTTTCCCTAAAATAGATAAAAATTGATAATACCTCATGTTCATATGTCAGGTCTACATCCGGGCCAATGAGGGCAATTGTTTGTTCACCATGCAGATAGCCCTTCCTGAGACGTGTGTTTATTAGTGGTGCTTCATATCTTGGATTTGTACCGATTAGTACTACAACATCTGCGTCTTCAACTGCGGCAATAGTGTTGTTCAAAAGATAGCTACTTCTGAGATCGATACCCGAACCGTCTTTCGGGAAGCACTGTTCTGTAGCTAGTCCCTCACTGCCCAATTTGTTCACTAAATCTTTCATAGCAATAAGGGCTTCCGCATCTACCAATTTCCCAGCAATCGCGGCGCATTTGTCCGCTGATATATTCGCTAGAGGTCTAGCAGCTAATCAATATAAAGAATTGAACGTTTTTATTACATACAAAAACATGGACGGATTTGTTAAGTGTACATATAATAAATACTAATCGATCCTACCAGCAATAAGTGCATCTTCCCAATCCACAGCTTCCAATTTTCCGTTGATCTTCATCATTGGAGTAATTAGTCTTTGCCTTTTGAGTCCATCATACGAGAAACGAGCTTTGTCTGAGAGCCATTCCTCGTTTACTTCCTAGAAAAATTATATCATTAATTATTACTAGTAATGTGTATATATAACACAATTAAGCATCTTTATGTTCTTTACTGTAAATATATATATTGTATATTAAAGATATTTACCTCATTTACTCTTGGTAATATTCTTAGGACCTCTCCGGTTCTGTGAGAGATAACTATATTGCTACCAACAGCATCATGAATGTCAATACTGTCAGTACGACGTGTCTCCCAGGGACGAGCAACAAACGCATACGGCTTACTAGTTAGTGCACCCACTGGACAGAGATCGATGATATTGCCAGACAATTCTGATAAGAACATTTTCTCAACATATGTTCCCACCTTTAAAATCATTATATAATTGTCATATAATTTTTAAGAACGTTATTTAATAAATAGTTAAATATAAAGTATTTTGTATACAGATTGATATATGTATATATTACAAGAATCTGAAATCCTCGCTACAGTCTCATGATAAGAATTACAAAAAACAATTTATCTTTTTCTTTAAGTGATACATATTCGCAATAAGCGAATGATTATATTTGAAATATATGTAAAATATTCAATTTACCTGCATATCATTGCCACGACCTGTAGTTCCTAAATCGTCAATACCAGCTACTTCCGAAGCAAATCGGATACACCTTGTACAATGTATGCAACGTGTCATAACTGTCTTGATTAACGGCCCCATGTCTTTATCCTCTACTGCTCTTTTCCCAGAGAAATTAATATCGACGAACCTACTTCTGTCAGTTCCAAAAGCCATACTTTGATCTTGTAAATCACACTCGCCGCCCTGGTCACAGATTGGACAGTCCAGTGGATGATTAACCAACAGGAATTCCATAACACCCTCACGAGCTTTCCGTGTGAGGTCAGAGTTGGTTTTCACTCTCCAGCCTTTCATTACTGGCATAGCGCACGCAGCAATTGGCTGTAAGATTGATTTATCGTCTATTAACTTTTTATTTAACGAATTATTCACTCATTCCTTTTAGCTTCTGTTATACAATAGAATAATTATTGTACAAAATATCTAATAGCTATTACCTTAACTTGCTTCTCTATTTCAACAAGACACATCCTGCAATTTCCAGCTACAGCAAGACGTTCATGATAACAGAATCTTGGTATTTCAACACCCACCTTGGCAGCAGCCTGAAAGAAAAATTTTCTCACATGAATGTTATTATCTACTTTTATTATTAAGTGTAATGTACATATTAAAATAATATATATATATATAAAATGAGAATCTTTTATTGTTTATAATTAAAAATTACAATTTATAAAAATGGTAATCTTTTATGATGAAACAAAAATATTGTTTATTAGTTTTAGAATGTAAATTTTACCATAAAAATTGTGATAATTTTGTCTTCATATTGAAATAAACTTATTTGCTACTGTTAGTTAAATGTTATTTTGAATTTATTTATTTTCATGAAGTTGCTGAAATTAAATGGCTATTTTGTATTATTTTGTAATGAGTAGACAGATATAATATCAAGTACTATACTGTAAAAGAAACCAATTAGTTATATTATTTTTTATTTGCATGTAATACAAAAGGAATGTGCATATATACATATATATATATATATATATGGGATGTCTCACAACTACCGCATTTATTCTTAAGAACATATTCTTGAGATAATTTTGAGACGAAAATCCTAATATAAAAATGTCGAGGTTATAATAGTTTTTGAATTATAATTGGTTAAAGATAGTGTATAATTCGAAAACTATTGTAGCCTCGATATTTTCGTCTTAGGATGTTCAAAAGAATCCAGAAATAATAATAGAGGCTATAAAAGTAAAATGGTTTTTGATTTATAAGCATTTAAAGTTAGCTTGTAATTAAAAAAATCATTGTAGTCTCGATATTTTCGTCTCAAAATTACCTCAAGAATATGTCCTTAAGAGGAAATGCGGTAGTTGTGAGACACCCTGTATATATAATATATATATACATATGTATAAAGATATTATAAAATTTTATTATAAAAATGAATATTATAAAACATTATAAACACTTTGGCTATATAATTATATGACTCAGTAATGTTTTCAAAAAATGTTTTAGATGAATTTGTATACATTAACAGAGATATTTTTAAATACTATTATATACATATTCTCTCTAATATAATAATAACTATAATTATATCTTCAATGTGAATTTTACATTTTTTTCGTGGAAATGACTATTCCGAGACTTTCCAAATATGTATAGATAAACTATGCAAACATCTAAATTTTTAATTTCTCTATATTTATTTTTTCAGTTCATGAATGGATATTCACTTTGAATAATGTATTAAAAGTTAAAACAAATGACAAGTTCCTTTCACAGTAATGTTTAACTTGTTTTATCAACTATGTTCATTAATTTAATTGTTATCCAAAGTCGATGTTTTTTGGCTTGAAATCGAAATATGTCGGTATTCACACCTATTACCGTTCCTATTCCTTACTTCATTGTTGTTTTGTCATAACGTGCGACGCTCGGTCTCAAGAAGACGGCTAGTTTGAAATCGTTAAAAGTTTTTGATCTGTGTCTTTCACTATGTTTAAAAGTATTCTGTTATTAATATTTTTATAGTTAAATATATTATGAATAATAGTATTTTATAATATTAGTAACAGAATACTTTTATAATTTATTATAATTTAATATAATTTAATATAATTATTATAATTTAATATAATTTCTAAATCTATAATTTATATATATATATACATTTACGAGTTGATAATCAGAAAGTCATTGAAATTGGAATTAATTGTTATATCATAATAAATTATTTATTATAATATAACAACTTATAGCTCCAATCAGCTCTAATTTCAATGACTTTTCAGTTTCAATGACTTTCTGATTATCAACTTGTAAATGTATCTACCCAGATAGCCAAGTCTGTAGAAAGCAAATTTTTTAAATGTCTGCTACACACTATGCCAACAAAATAGTAACAGCATTATTACAGAATTAGATACATAATACTATTGACAAACTGCTAGAAAAAAATATAACAGAATCAGATAATGTCGGCAGGATCTGCTCAGTTTCTGCTAACGATTTGCCTTCACATTATGTCGATAGGCGATGTTAACGAAACACAAGCCTAATGCGGATGCAGACTATCATCATTAGTTGATAGCAGACTGTCATCATTTTCTGCTCGAATCTGCTGACAATCTGTTAGAAGACTGCAAACATTTTGCTACCTGGATGTATATATATATATATAAATTATAATTTTAGAAATTATATTATTCTTTGCAACAGAAGACATACGAAAAAAATGAAGATAGAAAAAATATGGAAAAATACATAGATTCGAACCTGCAGGACTGTTGTTCCCGGTGGTACTTGCACAGGCTTGTCGTCGATGAAAAGCTCGATCAGCTCTTGTTGCGACTTATTGGACGTCGTATGGAAACTGACAGAGCAATGCCTTCCACCTGCCAGGCCTGTGGCCCGCACGATCGGTAGTCTCAACATCTCGCCAGACTAGCAACACCAGTTTACATTATTATATAATAAACAAACTTTATCACACAGTCAATGACGAATTAATCTAACTAGAGAGGATTACAGTTAATGCAAGACATATGTCTCCAAAAGTTATTATCGCAGCAACAGTGCCGAGAGTGTAACAAGAAATCTCGATGATTTGCCAAGTGATTTAAACGCGATATTACGCAATCTAAATCACAGTTAAATTAAGTTATCATGGTTGTTCTCAAGATACCTTCTCTGGACGTCAGAAACACCTAACAACCCACACTGAGCTCATGATGAGCAATGGCGAATTCGATGAATCGATTGTAAAACGCAATTGTGTAGATTACTTTTGTGTCACCGTGTATAGTCATGAACGTATTGGGTTGCGCTAATCAAGATCGTTCTATAAATTTATTATAGATTTGAAAGAAAATCGTGAATATTACCGACATTACCTATGGAACTTAATAAGCATACAGCTAATGACTGGTTTATGCTTCGGTTTTAATCCTAAAATCCTAAAATTCAGCCAATAGAATACAGATTTCCGTTAGGACCAATTAAGATTGGTAGCCCTATTGGCTGAATTTTAAGATTTTAGGATTAAGACCGAAGCATAAACCAAGCATAAATTGTGGTCATGATTGCTCTCAAAATTTCTCTGCTGCAACAACTTACTAAATGCTCCAATGAACTCTTACATCTGATTGGTATATTCCGTTAAATCTAAAAATATAGACCAAAGAGCGGTAATGGCTGCGTTCAGCAGACTCAACAGTTTTGCAACCGTTTTATGATTGTCTGCTGAGATAGGACCATCTTCTAGATCTAAAAGTATGATCCAATTTTAGCCATTAAGGCTGCGGTCCACTTGACGCTACAAACGCTTCGAAACATTGGCTGCGTTCAGCAGAGAAAGCAGCTTTGCAACTGTTGTAAAATTCTTCAATACGATTGGTTCTTGCTTTTAGTTCCTGACAGATCTAAATGTATAAACCAATCATATTGAAGAATTTTACAACAATTGCAAAGCTGCTTTCTCTGCTGAACGCAGCCAATGAATGCATCCATATGAAATATGAATGCACCCAAAGCAAGTAACTACTTTACTGTGTTCTCTACTGTGATTGGCCGATTCACTTACCGTTTAAAGGATTTATATTGGTTATTATTTGTTAATTTACGTAATCAAAGAATTAACCAATTAAAGTCGAATGAAAGAGGAATAGTCGACTATGATCGGTCAATTCTTACGGATAATTACGGCATAAGTTAACAGATTAAGATTAATATTAATTTACGTTTTTCTATGCGTTTCTAAGTTTATACTGAATTATTTTTTTTAACATTCGACTGATTTGTCAATTTCTTACGGCTTTACAACTTACGGTCTCAAAGTTAGACCTTGTCAATGGAAAAAATATTAGGAATAGGAATAAATATTAAGGGGATGCTGGAGTAACAAAATTACAACATCATAGTCGTATAAAAATCTTCGAATTGATTGAACGGAATAAAAAATCCTTTCATAGGATTAAAGTAGACTCAAAATTAGGAGGTGGTGCAGTGAACCTTTTGTACTAAAATCGAAAAAAAGTTAAAAAATGTTTTAACATTCTTTCGATTTTAGTATAAAATCCACTGCATCACCTCCTAATTTTGTGTCCATTTTAATCCTGTAAAAGGATTTTTTATTCCATTCAATTAATTCGAAGATTTTTATACGACTGTAATGCTGGAGTCGCCTGTATTACCGATAATACTATTATCGATAATACTATTACCGATAATACTAGCGTTTTTGACATTTTTGTTCCTGTCTAATTTCTTCGTAGTAGTTTCACAGAATAAAAATTCCTTCTCCACGATTAAAATATTCAGGTTAATGTACTTGTCCCTGGTGTATTTTGTGTTCAAAACTGAAAAAAATATGAAATTACAGATTGAAATTACAGATGATTCCAGCATTCCTTTAAAACTCTTAAGGCCATCACACGTACAAAAATTTTAGTGGGAATCGTAAAGTCGCAAGCAAATCAACCAATCACAATCAAAATTACGATCTCGAGTTTCAAAACGCTCGACTGTGATTGGTTGATTTGCTTGCGACCTTATGATTATAACTAATGCGGGGTCTACAATAGAAGTCGTAGCGGTCGTAGGGTCTTAAGTCGTAGAAAATTGACCAATCACAGTTGAATATGAGAAGAATAATCAACTGTGATTAGTCAATTTTCTATGACTTAAGACTCTACGACCGCTACGATTTCTATTGTAGACCCGCATAAAATTTTCGTACGTGTGATGACCTTTACGTTCGCAATGCTCACGGTTATAATTTATCCTCTTTATCAAATATTAAACAAGGATGAGATGATACGCGTGATCGTCAGTGAGGCGATATAAATATTTAGGGTATATCCACACAAAATTGTTAACTGAAATCTGTATTCTGTTGGCTGAATTTTAGGATTTTAGGGTTAATATTGAAGCATAAATCAGGCAAACGCTTTCTTAAGTTCATCTTTTTTCGGAAAACCATACAGGGGACTGAAAGAAGAAGAAGAAGAAGAAGTTTATCTTTAATGGAGGCTGGAGCTATTAAGAAAAAGTTTATTTTTAGATGTTCTGTAGCTAATATAATTCGTGGAGCATCTGAAGATAAATTTAAAGAGCCTTAAATATAAGGCCTGATTATGAATATGAGCATTAATGCTTACTCCTATTTATTTCTAATAATTTCCATTGTGCGCAGCCCTTTAATTGGAGTAATTAAAATCATATGTCCACGATGACAGTTAGTAATCACGTGGTCATTTAATGCAGAGTAGAGTGCGGTGTAGCAGCGCAGGCAGCGTATATTGGCGTATATATTAAAGGGTATATTAAAGGCAGCGTACACACATATATACATATACATATATATATATTAACGACAACGAAGAGGTTAAGAGTCGTTGAGAGTACGGAGAGCGTTCGCTTAGCTTACGCGTTAAAGTAGAAAATTCATTTTCCGACATTGGAAATTCTGGAAGAGTCGAAACTTCGCACCAAGTGTCCTCGAGATCAATTTAGAGTTTCGGAGTTGGTCCCATTCGGGTCCGTTAACTCCTTATTTGTTTTCGACGTCTTTTGAGTGTGAGTGATCGTGAGACATATCTATGAATTTTATAATGGATGATCCGGACGCGTCTGCGATTATTTATATATAGCGATTTTTATGTACACGATGTAAAACAAGTCCTCGTTCTATCGCCACCCATTCGAACGGTGTGATACAGATTGATTCGATAAAATCGGCAGGTACACTTCGCATGATAAGGAGTCCATCTAGAGGCATGTAAATAGTGTCAGGTGATTGGAACTGTTCCGTGCCATTTTTATTGCGCATTTCTGTAAGATCCCGGTTCTTCGTTATTATTTCGTTGTAACATCGCATATTCGCGCGTGTAAGAAAATTATTTTGTTACGTAAACGCTTGATAAATAAGGTGTACATTGTTGCATATAATAAGCGGTTTTCTCGACTGACACACATTTACTTCTTTAAAATCATTGCAAATAATAACTGACTACAATGAAGATCATGAGAATTAACAGTGTCTGTTTTTCTTTTTCAATTTTCTTTAGTCTGTCGTGACAATAGAAAAAGTCAGTATCGAATTATATTTTATCTGCAAAATAATTTTCAATTATATATGGACAGGAAATTTATGTTGGATAAACACATTTGTCACAACTATTTCTTAAGAATTTACAATAATAATAATAATCTTAGTATGCAAATTATCAGTAGACTTGAGTAGAATATTTCGGGATCAATTTGGCATCAATATTAATTGTATTAAGTTCATGTTCTATTAATAGACTCCGTCGACATAATCTGATAACTGAATAAAAATTGAATAGAATTTGTAATTCAATAAGATTCTTATTGAATAGTTATTTTTATTATTTTGTAATTATTTAAATGGAATATATCATGTAAATGATAGAAATTGCAAATTTTTGGTTTCTATAGTCAATCTGTTAGCAAATTCTACTGCCAACAAAATTTGTAGCAAACACTTTGCAAAATCCGTTTTCAACAAATTTATCTATCTGAAATTTTATATCTACTTAAAAAACAGAAGTCTCTGTAATTCGAAATAATAAAATCATAACTGCTTAAAATTCATTTGTGTTTAATATTCTTATTAGTGTACTATAATAATGTTGTCGTGACATATATATTTTTTATTGTACTCTAAAATTTTACTTCTTGCTTTCATTAAATTTCAAATATATTATAATATCTATTTTACAATATCTATTTCACTTTAAAAACAAAAGAGTGTACACTAGTTTAGCTATAAAAAGTAAACCTATATAAGGCAAAAGGACATAGAGCAGTTTTTCCAAAATCCTGAATTTTCAAGTGTTTTTAGAATGCTTAATGGATTATTCAGTGTTTGATGAATTGATTTCGTAGATTTCTTTTAAATTATGATACGGTTGTCGACACAATATTATTTTAGGGGTGTAACTTTAAAATAATAATAAATTTTATTGTTCAATTATATAGCAGAAGATTCAAGATGTCCGAAAAACTCCCGAGTAATCAACCGCAACCTATTGTTAAAATAGGCCATTATACATTAGGCCAGACTTTGGGTGTGGGTACATTTGGCAAAGTAAAAAGTACGTGTGTAATACAGTAGAAATTCTCTTTTTATTATCCTACCTAAAATTAATATCTATCCTACCTAAATTAATATAAATCCTACCTAAAATAAATTTTTTCATGTAATTCACAGTTGGGGAACACGTTTTAACGAAACACAAAGTTGCTGTGAAGATTCTGAATCGTCAAAAAATCAAGAGCCTGGATGTCGTAGGCAAAATTCGCAGAGAAATACAAAATCTCAAGCTCTTCAGACATCCTCATATCATTAAGCTGTAAGTATTAATTGTAGAATTTTGTTTCGTATATCGTAGTTATATAGCAATTATTTTAGA